CATCACCACGCAACTTTGTAGGCATATGACCACACATAATCTGAGGGGACCCCTCCATTATTGACCCCATCAAACAAAATGGGGGCGCTAGAGAGCTAATTTCTTATCTAGGCCTAACCGCCATATCGATTTTTACTAAACTTGGTAGATATGTAGAACAGGACGCCTCAAGGTGACAGGAGAAATTGAACTCTAATTGGCAACTGGGTGGCGCTATAACAACAGAAAAATGCTTAAAATGGCTAAAATGTGAATGATTGCTGTGGCTCCCCCGTGGCCGAATGTTTTTTCTCATTTTTGATATGATGATGAATTTTTGGTATGGTATAGTATGCTGCTGCAACAAGGCCTAGCCGCACCTTTCCCATGTGAACTACCAGTGCGCCCCACTTTTAAGTCGATACAACATATAAACACTTTAACTATCTGCCTTTCAGCGTGCTACCTCAACTACTAATGTACAGTTTTAGCCCACTAACTATCCCACTATTGGCAATGGTACTACTGTACTTTCAATAAAGCAATTGTACTATCAAATTCACAAAAACTCTGTCTGAATACATTGCTCTTTTTAATGGATTCAGTTGACTATTTAATCTGCAGTTTCCTATGACCTGTATCCCAAACACACACCATGTTAAACTGTACATGGGCAACTGTGCACTCAATGGGTATGGACTAGTGTTTTGTGAAGCTTCAAAGCCACTCTTACTGTATACAAAAAACCCCAAAACAAACACTTTTCCTGTTGTTTTTTTTTTTGTTTTTGTTTTTTTTTTAAATTTACCTTCCTACACAAATAACATGATTCTCCTACATGAGAGAAAAAATCTCATGAAGACTAAAATTTGAAAAATAAAAAAAAATTTGGCCGGCTCACAATAAAATATGAAGTGGCTTTGGGAGGGAGGGTGACGGTGAGACGGATGTCTGAGGTGTGACACAGTTTGACCCAGTTAACAACCAATCAAATGTAACCCCATTTCTCAGATGCTGTCTGTGCTTTTGCTCAAAAAATTCAGTTCTTGAGATGTCTGAGACGATGCACCTGTGTATGATCCTCTGCGGAGTATGTAAGTCTCTCGATATAAATTATATTTAGATCCTAATGAAGGCTAAAAATTAAATATTTAGTTGATTTTTCTAAAACATGATCTCTCTTTGGCCGTAGTTTATCTGTCGGCAGTGATCCAGTCAGCTGCAGTCACACAGGACACTGGGGTTATAACCACCAGTGTTGGGGACAATGTGACTTTACATTGCTTCTATGACAGCCAAGTGGCGATGCACTTCTCCTGGTACCAACAAACCTTAGGAGGTGGACCTGAGCTCCTGTCTACTGTCTACAAGTATGACAAACCCTCCAAAGTGTTCCCCTGGATGGAGAAGAACCCTCGTTTCTCCGTGGAAAGGGAGGAAGGGTTGAATCATTTACACATCACTGACGTCCACTTCTCAGATTCTGCAACGTACTTCTGTGGAAGCTCACACTCCAACATAGTGGAATTTGGAGAGGGGGTATTTCTAAGTGTCAAAGGTAGTGTGTTTTTATTTTTCATTGGCTTTGACATAAAATGAAATGCAGAAGATGCCGGAGATTTGCTTTCCAAATAATCCTATTCAAAGTTTATTTGATCACCTGAAGTATAAGTGAAATCGCAGAAAAAGAATGATCATATATTGTTATGTCAATGCTCATTTCAGTTTAAATAAGAGAGTTTTGAAATAATAAGTTAATAGAACTAAAACAGACAATGTAGAAGATTAGATTACATCATGTGATTAGAATAGCATCAAAATAGGCTGTTAAAGGCTATGGCTGTTTTTTCCAAATGAAAGAAATAATAATTTAAAATTAGATAAAATAAATGTAAATGAATGTAAATGAAAATGTAAATGTACTAAATAAAAGAGAGCATAGAATCTAAGTATAAGAGCGTAACTCTGTTCTCGTCCCCTACCCTTCTCTCACATTTAAAATATAATGTTCATCAGTTTTTTATATGATTTCAAAGGAAATTACTGATTTTAAAAAAAGAGGCTAATACTCATATTAAATACTAAAGAGAAAAAAAGAACAATTAAGGGCCCTAGATGATGAAGGAAGATAAGGTCAACATTGAAAAAAAAAATTCAAGTCATAATTTTGAAAAAAAAAAAGTTGTAATGTTACAAGAATAAAGATGTAATTTAATGAGCATAAAGTCATACTATTTCAAGAAAAAAAGCCAATATATAAAGTACATTTGTAAGTCTATAATAATATTAGGAGAATAAAGTTGTAATTCCGAGAAAAAGCTGTAATATTGCCGATATGAAGTCATAATGTAATGAGAATAAAGTCATACTATTTTCAGGAATAAAGTTGTAATATCAGGGGGAAAAGATCCAAATTAAATCTGATTTAAGACTTACTATTTTGAGAAAAAGTTGTAATATTATAAATATAAAGTTGTAATTTTATGAGAAAAAGGTTGCAGTACAAAGTGATAAAACTTGCAAATTAATGCCAAAAAATCAGGTGACATGGTATCAATTGTGACAAATCCTTGGCAAGTTTTTTTTCTCAGAAATTTACAAGTTTAATAATGTGATATATAATTACTTTTTCTCGTAAAATTACAACTTTTTTCCTCATAATATTATGACTTTCTTCTTGAAATAATATGACTTATTCTCATTAAATTACAACGTTATTTCTGTAATGTTCTGCCTTTTTTTCAAACTTAAAAATCAAAATCAGATTTTATTCATTTTTCAGTGTGGCCCTAATCCTTGTCTGTATTAAATAAACTATATGTCTCCAAGAATCAAATAAAGACAACCCTTTTTTTGTGAATTGTAGGAGCCAAACTCAAGGAAATAGTCCAGGGGCCAGCATTGGAGGTCATCGAGCCAGGAGGCTCGGTGACTCTGAACTGTACCGTCCACACTGGGACCTGTGATGGAGAACACAGTGTTTACTGGTTCAGACATGGCCATCGCCAAGGAATCCTTTACACACACGGGGACCAATGCAAATCTGCCTCCACTCCAGAGTCTCCTTCGTGTGTCTACCAGTTGCAGAAAGTGAACCTGAGCTCCTCTGATGCTGGAACCTACATCTGCGCTGTGGCCTCCTGTGGGGAGGTGCTGTTTGGTAATGGAAGCAAGTTGCTCGTCAAAGGTGACGCTGAAGACCAAATGGCATCGATGACAATCTTAGTCTGGCTCTCCATCATCAGAACTGGGATTCTCTTCTTCCTTGTGACGATTTGTTTCTGGGTTTACATCAATAAGAGGAGGTGAAATCTTTATTCATGCAGAGTTTGGCTCAGACGTTCACTTAGCTCAGAATCACTGTTACAGTTAATGTTTATATTACGACAAAAAGTGTTGAATAAAAATCACATAATTTTGTTGTTTGGCTGTATTATACTTTTCTTAATAAAAGCAACTCTGACAAAATCATTGTAGGTGGTGGTATGATTAACAGTACACAATTCATTTGTAACCCACAAATAAAATCAAGTAGCATCAAAGTGGTGAGAAGGCATTGAATATATTGACTAATCAGCCCGTAAACTCTGTTCAGGTTTATCTAACCACTGCAGTAGCTGCATAACCTCTGTGATGTATAGCTCACAAGCTGTGTGTGGTTTAACACAGAGAAACACACTGTGTTGTGGAACATCAATGAACTGCTGCTGCTAAACATGTACTGTAGTTTGATCACAAAAATAGGTTCCTGTGTTCCACTGAAAGTTTAAGTGGGGGAGTTAAATGAGGACATCCTGCTTGAAACCACCTTCGTATGAACACAATATACAAATGAGAGCACATTAATGTGTAGAAAGTTCTCTTCTCTTACTGCCAACCACAAGACTGCTGTAAGAAGACAGAGAGACTGAAGGGTGTGGCCAGTGTTCTGTGATGAAGCTGAAATGTCATGGAACATTACTACACAAACAATATACAGGATAACATTCTCGCTCATGATTCATACACACATTTCATACGTCACTCTTCATATGTCATCTACAAACACACCCTCCCAATTTGGCTTTTGTTTAAGCTGCAAAATCCTCCCTGCTCTCTTTGCATTGTCTGTGCCACTGCTGCCCTGCATCAGTAGTAAATATACAACCCAGATTATGTCAACACAATGTCTATTTGATTTCAAATGTTCCGGAAAAACTGAAAGCCACCAAGTTTGTTTTCTGTACCTATATAGCCTACTGATGTTTAGGTACCGGCATTATTATTATTATTATCAGCAACAGGCTCTGTATGTGTGCATTTATTCCACATAAACCACATGTGTTTGGTCATACAAAAGTAGGCTTTTCTTGATCTTGTTTATTGCTTATATCTAAAATTTGTAACTTTTAAAGAAAAATAATGTCAACTTGAGAAGGACATCAACTCAACACGGTCTCACTCCAAAGTCATCGAAATCTGACGCTTGGGCAGCGACTTCCGGTGTCAGACACCACCGAAAGAAGCTGTCCTTTCTTATGTTGGCATGATATGTGGCCGGTTGCCTTTATAGTTTTACTGCACCTAGTGGTGTCATGGTAAAACGTGGCGGGACAAGAACAAAAGTTAAGGCGATGACTGTCCCCAGTAGGTCGGGTAGTAGGGGTGGTGCATGGGTCTAACAGCCACCAACTTTCACAGAGAAGGGAGGTGTTCGTGTAAAACCAAACCCTGTACTTCGTTTTTGTTGCCTAAATCTAACTACATGTGTTTGTTGGCAAAACGCAATACATTTCATTTAAAAGGCGCCTTTCAAAACACCCAAGGTCACCGTACAGAGCACAAAATATGCAAAGGGTACAGTCAATGGCAAAGTGCACAGGCCAGTCTGAACAGGTGGCTTTTGAGACGGGATTTGAAGGATGTTATGCTGTCGGACTGTTGAAGGTGTGGAGGTAGGGAGTTCCAGAACCTGGGAGCAGTGCAGCTGAAAGCCCTGGCACCCATGGTGCAAACGTGAGAGGTGGGGATGGTCAGGAGATAGGGTAGGGGTTAGGTTGCGGAGGGCTTTGAAGGTGAGCAGAAGGGTTTTGTAATCAATCCGGTACTGAACAGGGAGCCAGTGTAGTTTTGATTTTGAAAGAGACTGTATGTAAACGGTACATTTCCTGTGAAAACTTAAGTGTATTTTGGAAAAATACAATTCATGTAACAGGCTGAACTTCACACAGCATCCCAGAACATCAACAACCAATGACCCAGGATAATTTGCACATAGTATCTGGACGTGGAAAGTCCATGACCAAACGTTAATATGTGACGAAGTCAGAGTGAGAAACATTCGGACTTGATTTTAAAGGTATAAAACTGAAATTGTAAACAAAAAGAAACAAACAAAGGCCATAAAGTAGTGCACGATAAAATGCACTTGGCCATCATCATTATACTTGAGAGGTCTGTCTCTATTAGAGGTCTTCACAGGATGACAGGACGGGATGAGAGGACAATTAACACCAGTAGCATGATGTGATATTCTATTACAAGCTGCCATAGAAGTGAAATAGAAGCAAATGTTCTAAGAAAGAATATATGATCACAGAAACTAATACGTTGTTCTGCTTAAAACTAAATAAATAAATATCTTGTGGGAAACCTGCAGCAGTGGCATGGATGTCTTGACCTAAAGCAGTAGCAGCAGCAGCTTCAATCATCTTCCAGTGTCTGCACAAGGTGCATTCAGGCACAGTATTGAGTGTCGGGCACCTGCGTTTTGGCCGTGCTCAGAGCCATATACACAATGAAAACGGAAAAAAAAAAGACTCAGAGTTTGAAATTATTCTTCAGGTGGCAGTTGTGAGTAAAGGACATGTAAAACGTAACCCATCACTTGGCGTGTTTGAACAACTGTGGTAGAAAGGGGGATAGAAAAAGGATTTCCTGAACTTCTCTGGACAACATTGTGCTGAGTACTCCATGCTGATCCCTGGAGAATTGGATGACACATGTTCAGCTACCTCTGTGGCCAGCCCCGATGTGGCTGTGGACGCCCCTGGCATTGTTGAACCTCCCCAAGTTGAGATAAGTCTCTTTCCTTTCAAGGCCTCTCCTCTTCACCTGCATCAGGTCAATGTGCATTACCCCTCACATTTTACTCCAAATCCATCTATTTTTTTCACTCCACCTTACCTTTTTCATTGGACAGTAAAGCCACCCAAACATATACACCATGAACACATTAACACAATCACAGCTCACACACCATCTCCTGCTTTAACATTGATCTTGTGGTCCAGGTGGGGTGGCACCCACTGTAGTGGGAACTATTTCTGAGGCCTGTTTGAGTATTTTGCCAGGTGTTTATATGTCTTTCTGTCTGTGGACAGAATTTGTCAACAAGAAACACAAAACTTTACAGGTGTGTAGCTGAGATCAAAATGAAGGCCAGGTTTGTAGATGGTGTGGTCTGAGCAAGGACACTGGAAGAAGGGAAAGGGTCATAACCCCCCAACTTAAAACCCCTGACCCACATTCATTTTAAGTTGCAGATTGCTGTATTGCAGCTGGGACGATCCCACTGCGAGACGGTTTACAGGTTACATTATTATTTATAAACTGACAGTTTTAGGAAAATGTTTATTCTTCTGTCCGGTGCCCAACACTAATCTTGAATATTTGGGAACCTACGCTAACCTGGAAATCCAGAGTTCTCGCAAGAGCACAATTTGTATTTGCTCAGCTAGTCACTCTGGCAATCAGTAATTATGCTCATTATCCATGCCGTTGGAGCCTAGCTGCACCAATCACATCGGTGTATCTGATATAGGTGGGCCAGAGGCGAGCTAAACAGATGACGACAGCGCTGCTACGACGAAGTCCAGAATCAGTCAGTAAACATTGCACGATGACTATGGATGAACACCAGTTGTTTGAAACGGCTTTGGCTGCTACAATGAATGAGTTAGACTTGGCTTTTTCTCTAAAAGAGGAACAGAAGACGGCGCTCGAATCTTTCCTTTGCAAGAAGGATGTTTTTGCTGTTTTGCCGACCGGATACAGCAAGAGTCTAATCTACCAGTTAGCTCCGATGGTAGCTGAGCGTGCATTGTTCTGATAGGTCGTAGTGTTATCCAATTGCGTGCAGTGATATTTTCAAATGCATGCTTGGTGCCGCCCCTTGAGTTTGGCCATTTGCATTACTCATAGCCAGACCCTAAATCTTTCTAGATTTGGGTCTGGATTTCCAGGCTAAACCTACGCTGCAATTCAGCTAAAATGCCTCCTGTAAAGACCATTCTCGGAACCCATCGGCTGTATTCGGCGTCTGACTTCCGGCAGAGGGCGATACAGCTTCTGGGGGCAGACCCCCGATTTTTTGGCATTCCGGTTTGATTTGGGCAGAGGAGGCAAATTTCCGTTTCCGACTTCCGTTTATGTAAATATGCTGAACCACTGCGATGGATTCAGAGTTTGCAGTGACAATTATGTTCCGCCTCGTTAGTTCACCGCACTGACTGTTTAAACTGGCAACAACTGCAGCCGGCTCAAATGTGATTGGTCAATATCATGCTGACTACAAACAGCCTACAACCGCAAACCAGGGCTCTTCCGCTCTTCTTCCAGAGGCAAGATCTCCGGGATTTTCCTACAGACTATACATTCACTGAATGTAGAGTCTGTATACAGAGACTATGTAAAGACCAACACATTCTCACTATGACCTCACCACATATCGACATTTGGTCCACGTCATTTCTACATCAAGATATGACTTGTAAGGTAGATCTGTCAAGATCTGCCTATTTTTTCAAAATACACTTTCGTTTTCACAGGAAATTTACAGATTGCATACAGTCTCTTTCAAAATAACAACACCACAAATTGAAGTTATTTTAATTCAACAACGAACGCACATGGTTGCATTTAGCCAAGACACGCATGTGGTTGGGTTTGGGCAACAAACGCACGTGACTGGGTTTCAGAAAAAGAACAGGGTTTGGCTTTACAATCACACAAGAAAAAGTCAGTGGTTGCTGGACCCATCCAACACCCCTCCTGCCTGTCCTACTCGAACTTCTGCTGCCTTAACTTTCATTGTTGTCCTTATGTGTTTCCCCCTGACGCCACTGGGAGCTGTCACACAATAATGGCAACCGGCTGCATATCATGTCAACGTAAAAGAATGTCTTTTTTCGTTAGTATCTTGCGCCGAAAGTCACTGATCAAGCACTGGCTTTCAACAACTTCTGAGTGAAACCAGGTTGTAGAGACAAGACAATTCATGTGTATCACATTCCTACACATCCCACAATGCACCTCAATAGCATCTTGTCATCACTCCTGGTTAATGTACAGTACAGGCCAAAAGTTTGGACACACCTTCTCATTCAATGCGTTTTCTTTATTTTCATGACTATTTACATTGTAGATTCTCACTGAAGGCATCAAAACTATGAATGAACACATGTGGAGTTATGTACTTAACA